TTTTTAGTGTCTGGCTCCATGACACTTGATAAGTGTATGTTATATTTTATGTGTTAATTTGTTAGTGAAAACATATTATTTTATTTTGTGTTTGTGCAAGGAATATAAGAAATAGGCAAAATTTTCAAGTATGGCACAACATCGCGAAGTTAGAGATTGACACAATCAGAGCATCCAAATATGAACATAGTGACACCCAGTCTCTGTTTCAAAGTTTTGTAGCATCAGAGGTGTCAGCGTCACAAAGCCTAACCAACTATCCCAATATTGCAAGGTCGAAGGAGTCAATGCTATAAAGCCCAGTCTCTATCTATATAGTGTCACAATGCCAAATTTTAACGCCACTAAGTCAGAGGAGTGCCACATGGACTTCATAATGCTCAAACATCAGCAGCACCACATACTACAATTATAACTATTTAAGCCACGAACTGCTAGCGAAGTGACGTGTTGATTCATTAAATAATGGGCCCATATTAGAAAGTACCGTAGCGAAGAAAATCCTTTAGCACTGCGGCATTAGTTTATTTTATGGACGCCACAATACAAGTGTCTGCATGCATCATGGTACCATAATCCATTTTATGTATTTTTCTATAAATAACATGTTTCTTATGTTAGTGGTGGAGCTCAGTCACTTAGTAAAATTTAGACTTTATAGTGTCTCTCTGATATTTCCTTTGAAGTGATAACTAAGGGAGTTCATAGAGCACTAGATCCACTTCTTTAGAGTATATGGTCAATATTTGTGGAGGCAATTCTATAAATTCAAGGTGGAGTGTAGAGGAGAATATTGAACTGTCTGGTGATATCTTTTCTTCTTTACTTTCTTATATATTATTAATGAAAATGAGTTTGTTCCAATTATTTTTCATGGCAGGCTAATTCTTAAAGTTTTTAGATTGATAGTGTAAATTAAATATGAAATACTAATAATTTCTCTTAATCTTTAAATTAATGATATGATGTTTTCAATATATCAGGTCTTCATTTAATGCAGATAGTGGCCTTATATATATTTAATCTAGGTGTAATGTGGAGCATATGAATAAGAAAGTAGGGATAACCATGTATGTTGGATTAACATGATGCAAGCATAGACATAGTGCTTGTCATATATTAAATTTATAGAGATGGATTGTCATAAAGGGGTGATTAATATTACGTTCTTTACTTACTCTTCTAAGATTTTTACAGGGTGACAGACTATGAGAGTTTAGAGTTGTATTAAGAGTGAAATGTATTAAACCTGTCCTTTATCTCTTCGCACTTGACTTAGCGGTCGATGATGCTTATGATTTGAATAACATCACATTATTAAGAGAATCAGTAGGAAAGATTAATTTTACATTTCATCAATCCAAAATATTTTATTCATATAAATGTATCAATTACTTTGTTATTGATTTTGCTAAAGTTGTTGAATCTCTACCAAACCTTATTTTTATTGAGTAAGATAATTGTTGTAGTTGAAGTAGACAATACTAGTATTTGCAAGTAAATATTATTCATCGTTTGATCGATATTTTACTCTATTGCTATATTACTTGATTCGGCACATATATTTGCATATATTAAGTGAAGTTTTTTATATTTTTTTTATATCAAAGAAAATCTAAGCATTATTTAGGGATCAATAGAGCCCTAAATCATATTCATAATTCTTTATGTTACTCCACCCCATCAACACTCCAACCCAAAGCCGTTGCACTACATGCTAAATCTAGAGTTACTGTAGAATAGAGTATTTAAAATAGCATTGACAATTTTTGATGTCGCAATCCTCTAGTTTAGACAAAAAAATAGATTTCATTTTAATTTTTTTTCATAATTATCAGGTTGTTACAATACTTGTGGCCATTGCTCTTTTTCTATTTTATATAGGGGATTTATGCTAAATTATTTTAAATGTCAACTCAAGCATAATTTCCAAATGATTCTATGTGATATTTTAATTTATTTTTTCATACTTTATGTTGTGTGTGTCCAATTTAATTCTTTTACTTCCACTATACTTTTAGTCTAAAAAGATAAAAGTAAAAGTTTATTATTTAGTATTAACATATATTAAAGAGTACCCGGCCTCATTAGCTGATCTAGGAGTACTTACTAGCATGCATCCCAATAACAAACATATAAAAGTACATTTGAACTTGGTGCAACATATCAAATGTAGATTGTTCATCAATGTTTTTACATGATTTTCACTTTCATTTTTGTATATAAACAACACAACTCATTTTGATATGGATCCATGAAATCCCAACAGGATAATTTCCACATTTTCAAGACTAACTACTAATACCTGTCACTCCTTTGAGCTTATTATACTCCTATTTGAGTTTTTTTTTATGATTCAAATATCATTATCATATTAAGTTTTTGTATGGAAAGGCAGTCGTCTCACTAGGTTATAGTGATTCATCATCTATCTTATAGACTAACTCTTCTCAAAGCATATGTTTCCTATTAAGATAGTAGTCTTTGAACCATAATTTTCTTTGATGTTAACTCAGGAAAATTAAAATGAAGGCATGATTCATTTATGAGGAGTATAATTTGGATGTGTCGTTCAGTATAATTAACAGTTTGGAGACTAATCAATTCTGATTATCTACTTAATTTCACTTAAATTTTATAATATGACTTCTTATGTGTATTTTACATGAGTTGAGATATGATTAATTGATTTTATGCCAATGAACCTTTTTTTTTGGTGAAATCTTCTATACATATTGTCATTCTTCTTTCCCTCAACAAAGAGAAAACCAAGAAATTTAAATGAAGTCGACGAGTTTTAATACTTGTATCAATTGTATGCATTTTCTTTATAGACAATTGTGTGCATCGATATTGGTGGCTATAATAGGCAATGGAAGTAGGAGGTGTCTGCTTATTTTGGATAGTGTGGATTGTCTTTTATAAGTGATGGTGTGTGTCCAAATTATAAGCAATAACAAGCATCAATGTTTTGTGTTTACTACATACATTGGCCTTGTTGGTTATGTATTGTGTCTACATTAGTAGCGAGAAAAAGCAAGAAAGTTGATAGGCATCAATGATGGTGTCAGTACCGTGTATCAGCCTTATAAGTGAGTGTGTGCATTAACATCTTTTTACGATGATTGATGCATGATGGTCGTAAGTCAGTGATTTTCAAGTGATGACAATTGCTGGTAATGCTTGTTAACATTAAACGTCAAGTAGAGCTCTAGTGGTTGGAAGCCCTCTCTACTTTAAGTCAATTTCTAAGCTCTCATCCCCTCCCTCATGTGAAGAATGAAGATATATATTTATATTTTTATCGAATGACATTTAGGTAATTTTAGCTAAATTATCCAAAAATACTTAATTGGATGGTATATATTGATTATGTTGATCATTGGCAAGTCTTTTTAATATTTATGGCCTTAATTGTCATATAATTAAGTGATCTTAGTCTTATTAAATTTCTCTCATCGAGATGCTTATTTTGAATGAAAGAATGTGATATTCTTAGATCATTTAGTCATTCTATTAATATTATAAAGTTTTCAACCGCATTTCAAATGCATGTTTCAAATTGGACCACTTTCAAATCATTAGGTTTGTCGCATTGAAACATTTAGTGTGACTATAAATTTTTTGAAATTAGAATTCAAATGGTAATAATTTTAATCATGTAAGTTTTTAATTTAAGGATTGCATTAAAATGACTAGTATAGGAAGTTTAGAAGAGATGAGCGACAAAAAAGAAAACAAGTTGGTGTGGGATTTTAAAAAGCAAAGAAGGTTTTCTCGACCTCCAACTACTAGTCGTATATGCCAATTTAATTGGTGATATAATTCAAATTTTAAATTTATTTAAAAATTACATTTTCTTTAAAAAATTCCCTTTTGAAAAAAAAAATTCCCATCTAATATCTACTAAAAAAAACTATTAAAACAAGTTTTTGTGCATGCCATGATGAAGCTATTGAAAGTTATCTAGTGCAAAAATATAAATTAGAATTTCTCAAAAAAAAAAAAAAAACATATTTAATTGAATTCATTGTTTTTAAAAATCTAGTACCTTAAAAAAATGAATTATTCTTGAAGTGTATTAAAAGTAAAAGTGGTAGATTATATTTTATTATGAATTTTAACATTTAAATAAAAAAATTTTAGATAAATATATAAAAAGGATCATTATACAAAAAAATAAACTTTGAGAAGGTTTTTTACATTTATTCTTTATTTATCTTATTATTATAAATTTTTATTTTTATTAGAATATTTGATTTTATATGCTTCATAATAGGTGTGATTGAAGAAATATGTTCGTTATTTATTTTATTTGAAAAATATGCTCAAAAGTTCATTTAAAATTAAATTACTCTTTTTGTAAATCCGATTGTTTGTTGAATTTTCTCGTGAACAAATTTTGATCGATTCAAATTCCATTCAAGCTTCCATCACACGTGCTTGACCTGTGATGCTTTCCCTAGTAAGCTCATTGCATGCTGATCTCAAAGTGATATCCACAAGAAAGCCTCCTCTTTCTCCTCCTAAATAGTCGATCCAATCTCTGCCTTCCCTAATAAGTTACAAAATTAACTTCTCTTGCATAGACTTTTTGACTTATTGGTGAGGCCCTAATGAGCTTGCATCAGGAAATCTTCTCCTCAAATACTGTCGGTCTTGTCAGCTAGCTTGAGTGATTCTCGTTATAAGTTGACTGTTCTCACATGCTATCGATCCCATATACAAGCACCTAATGAGCTCCTATTGCGAAATTCAGTTCTTGATGAATGCTCCAATAAGTTTTGTTGACTTATATTTGATTTAAGATTTTAATTTAAACTAATTTGAATAAAATTCTCAAGAAATAGAATTCAATAAGCTATTCATCTGAATATAAAAAAAAATATAATTTTCTCTGAAATACATTTAAAAAAAATATACAGCAAATATATTTCTCCAATTACGCCCAAATTCCCCATTCTTTACCTATCCTAATATTATTTAGTCTTAATTACAAATTTTTACGCTGGACCCGCTTTTTTTATCCGAACAGCAGAGCTTCAAATCTTTCCTCGATGTTATCGATCCTCACTATACCTGCTGCATTCCTAATTTTAACAACCCCAAGCACTGCGTTTCTCGCCGATTCCATTTCCTCTGCTCCGCAAATCCCTTTCAAGGATCAACCTTTGCCTTCTCTCCTCAGGTTTATCCCCGTGCAGATCCCGCTATTTCGAGCTCGTTTACTTTGGCATGGCTTCTGGGAGGTTTTCGTTGTGGTTCGATTGAAATACGCATTGTTTTTATTGTTTATTCTGTTATAGGGTATTTATTTGAAGATGGACTCGGTGATCATGTCCAAATCCGTTTGCTCGACGCCGGTGAGTTGTTATCTATTTGTTGGGCTTTGTTAATTTGTGCATTTCTGCAAAATCTTGCCCTTTTAGAGGTATTTACTATTGTTCTTTGGCTGATTTTTTTTTAGCGCCTTGAAGAAATTGAGAGTGATTTGGCTCCGGCATTTCGCTACTCTTTGTTAGGTAGTGTTAGTCGTAGGAGACGCTTTTATGTCTATATTAATGCTTGCTGAACATAATGTTATATCCGTTAATACATTATTGAAAAGTTTTCACTGATCTTAAACCTTAGACTTTTCCTGCTTAAGTTTCTGAGATTTTTTTTGGAATAATTGAAAGAAAATGCCGTCTCCGTGCACTTGCACGTCTATGCTCGAATACTGATGAGCCATGTAGCATAAAAAGCTGCGTTCTTACGTACCTGTGATGGAGCAGTGATGCGCAATGTTGCTTAAGAAGTTTTTCCCAAAAATGTTGCTTAAGAAGCAAGTGGTTAAAAAATTGTAGGTCGAGATCGAGGTAGAGATATAGTGGGAGAGAGATGCCCTTTAATTTTTTTTTTGGAAATAGGTATGTACTTAAATTACTACGTACATGTACTCTGCGCAATGCAGCTCAAAGTGACTGGTTAAATTCCTTCTCCCCCTCCAAAATCCTAATGATCCTGCTCCGCCTAGCAGCTTGGAATACTAGGGGGTTTAATAACCCTGCTAAGGTCATGTGTTGCAAAAACTTAGCTTCTCAGTTCTCTCCGGACATGCTTCCTATTTTGGAAAGTAGGATCCAAAGTGCTGCTCGTGATGACCTTTGTTTCATCTATCCCATCTCATTTTTTAGAATGAAGAAAGCTGTCATAATTTCGATTCCATTTCCTCTGCTCCACAAATCCCTTTCAAGGATCAACCTTTGCCTTCTCTCCTCAGGTTTATCCCCGTGCAGATCCCGCTAATTCGAGCTCGTTTACTTTGGCATGGCTTCTGGGAGGTTTTCGTCGTGGTTCGATTGAAATACGCATTGTTTTTATTGTTTATTCTGTTATAGGGTATTTATTTGAAGATGGACTCGGTGATCATGGCCAAATCCGTTTGCTCGACGCCGGTGAGTTGTTATCTATTTGTTGGGCTTTGTTAATTTGTGCATTTCTGCAAAATCTTGCCCTTTTAGCGGTATTTACTGTTGTTCTTTGTCTGAATTTTTTTTTTGGCGCCTTGAATAAATCGAGAGTGATTTGGCTCCGGCATTTCGCTACTCTTTGTTAGGTAGTGTTAGTCGTAGGAGACGCTTTTATGCCTATATTAATGCTTGCCGAACATAATGTTATATTCGTTAATACATTATTGAAAAGTTTTCACTGATCTTAAACCTTAGACTTTTCCTGCTTAAGTTTATGAGAATTTTTTTGGAATAATTGAAAAAAATGCCGTCTCCGTGTACTTGCACGTCTATGCTCGAATACTGATGAGCCATGTAGATGTAGCATAAAAAGCTGCGTACTTACGTACCTGTGATGGAGCAATGATGCACAATGTTGCTTAAGAAGCAAGTGGTTAAAAACGTGTTGGTCGAGATCGAGGTAGAGATATAGTGGGAGAGAGATGCCCTTAAATTTTTTTTTTGGAAATAGGTTTGTACTTAAATTACTACGTACATGTACTCTGCGCAATGCAGCTCAAAGTGACTGGTTAAATTTCTTCTCCCCCTCCAAAATCCTAATGATCCTGCTCCGCCTAGCAGCTTGGAATACTAGGGGGTTTAATAAACCTGCTAAGGTTATGTGTTGCAAAAACTTAGCTTCTCAGTTCTCTCCGGACATGTTTCCTATTTTGGAAAGTAGGATCCAAAGTGCTGCTCGTGATGACCTTTGTTTCATCTATCCCATCTCATTTTTTAGAATGAAGAAAGCTGTCATAATTTTGATTTTGCTAGGTCAAGTAGAATTTGGGTGAAGTGGAACCCTTCTAAGATTTCTTTTGCCTCTCCTACTCCAATCAAATGATAACTGGATTGGTTTCTGATGCTTTCAACAATCAATTTCTTCTTTATGTTATTTATGCCTCCAACTCTCAAGTTGAAAGGTTTGATCTTTGGGAGCAGATTCGTCATACTATGCCCTCTGATGGCACCCCATGGGTTATATTAGGCGATTTCAATTGTTGCAGGTTTCAATCAGATAAGATTAGGGGAATTCCTTTGCTTAGCCATAGTTTGGTTGATTTCAACTCTCTTATTTTTGACACGGGCCTCAAAGAGCTTTCTTCCACTTGTAGTTTTTACACATGGTTTAATCAAAGGGTTGAATCCCCTATTCATTTGAAACTTGATAGGATTCGGAGATGATGATTTAAATTTTTTGTATGCCAGAATCCACACTAGGAAGAAATATGGTAGAACTTCTGTGCTCTCTGCCCTTGTTGACTCTTCTGTTGGTCACCAAGATGTTATTAACTACATAATTCAACACTTCAACACTCTTTACAACTCCACCCCCCACCATGACTAACATATCCTTCATCCCACATGAAGAGATTATGCACCCCCCCTCCCCCCCGGGCTAACATTCTATCTACTCTTGTTACTATTTGTGAGATTAAAAATGAAATTTTTGCTGGATCCTCTACTTATGCTCCAAGCCTGGATGGATACAATTTTGAGTTCTATACCCCATTGTTGGCCCTCTCTTATGCAAAACTACAAGGTCTTTCTTTACTAAAAATTATTTTCCTAGGAAGGTTAAAGCCACTGCTATTGCTTTAATTCTTAAAACCAATAATTCCTCTAATATTGCTGACTTCAGACCCATTTCATTGTGCAATGTTTTGTACAAGGTGATTGCAAAATTTTAACTTCCAAAATGAAGCTAATCATGCCATACATCATTAAACATAATCAATCTGGCTTCATTCACCAAAGGATTTCTACAAATAATATGCTGCTGGCCTCTGAATTGCTTGGCGAGTTCAATAGTAAATACTCCAGGAAGTATTTCTGTGCTAAGTTTGATATCCAAAAGGCATTTGATACGGTTTCTTGTTCTTTCATCCTTGCTAGAATGTCTCAAAAAGGATTTCCAAATTCATATTTTGGGTTAAAGCCTGTATTTCTGATGTGTATTTTTATATTTGTATTAATGGTGACCTCTAGGGATTTTTCAATTCTTTATCAGGACTAAGGCAGGGCTGCCCCCTTAGTCCTTACTTTTTATGTGTTGTTATGAACGCTTTCTCTTGCCTTATAGACTATGTGGATAGTCCTACTCCATTTCAAGGCTTTTCTACTGATGAGTTTACTATTTTCCACCTCTTATATGCTGATGATTTATTAGTATTTGGGAAAGCTTCCCCTCAAAATTGTATTTCCCTTAATTCTATTCTCCAATCTTTTACTAGTTGCTCGGGGCTGCATATAAATCATGATAAAAGTTCTTTGATCCTTTCTCCAAACACTCCTTTCACTTCTGCTTTATGTGACATCTTTATATTCGTAACTATAGCTCCAACATGATATAATTGGGCCTCTTGATTTCTCTTAAGAGACTCAAGGTCTCCGACGTCCTGCCCCTCATTAATATTTTCTCTAACAAACTTGCTGAAAAGCAAGGCTTCTCTCTTTTGTAGGTAGAGCTTAGTTCCTCAAATTCACTATTTGTAAATACCATTGCTTACTCGATTCGTGATGCTATTATGCCTAAAACATGTTTCAAATTAATTAGAAAACTATGCTCTAATTTCCTTTACTTTGGTGATATAAAGGCCAGAAAGCTTTATCTCATCTCATGGCACAACACTTGTAAACCTAGGGAATTCGGTGGCATTGGTCTTTCTGCTATTAATGCTTTTTACAATGCTTTTCCATGGAAACCTTTGCCTATTGGAGCGTCCAACATGTGGAAGAACATTTGCAATACAAGGACAAGGGTTATTAGTAAAACTTCATGCAATATCACTAGCAATATCTCGTTTTCTCTTTTCTGGGATGACTGGTTTAATGGGTAATGTTTGTTCGACTGTCTTGCATTCGATCTACCCTTCTTTTGCCTTTGTTTTTGTTCTCCTTATAGGTTATAATTGGAATTTTCCTGAATGCATTCCAATCACCTTGGTTAACTCCATTTATGGCATTCCAATTTAGGAATCTTCCTCTTGCTTAAATTGGAATTTTGTTGGCAACAGACTTGGGATGTTTAAAAACTTCTTGAGGGATTTTTATGCTGAAGAGGTTCTTTATCGTTGGTTTAAGTTTGTTTGGGACAAGTACTTGTCCATGAGGTATTTTTCTTATTCTTGGTTGGCCTTGTTGGGTGGTTTTAAGACTATAGATGCTTTATGCCTGAGAAATATCCAAGTCAATCCTCTCTGCTCTCTCTGCAATTTGTCTGATGAAAGCATATCACATTTATTCTTCGAATGTGATTATTCTTTTGCTCTTTTAATTAAGATTATTCTTGATCTTCATGGGTTTCTGTTAAGGCCAAACATTTTGCATATTTTTGAATATTTTCATGATCTTAACATGTCTTCTAGTGCCTGCAAGAATTTCACGTTTGTATTGATCTGCTGCACCATTTATCATGTTTGGAGGAAAAAAAACAATATAAGATTTGATTCCAATTTTGCTAGCATTGACAATACTGCTCATATCATTAAAAAATAGGTTTATATTGAGGCCTCTAAGAGCTTGGGGCTGAATATTAAAGTTGCTGTTGGATATGAATATTTATGATGCTTCTCTGCTTTTGATTGCCTATTATTTGCTGGAAGTTCTATTCCTTTTGGATTTGAGGGAGGTATTTCTTGTGGACCTCTCCGCTGCTGCTATCTCATGGGTTGTCACATGATGATGGCTTTTCGAATTTCTATGGTCTGGTGGGATTTTGGTTTGCTAATGACGATGATAATAATCCCTTAACTCCATACTTATTCCCCTTGGATGGCCTCTTTAGCAACTAGGGGAACTGACCCTGTCCGATTTTGAATGTTTATCTAGTTCGATCTGAGTCCTTGCTTGTGGGGCTTAATTTTTGCTTATGTCTATACCTTTCTTCTTTTTTCTGGCACTCTTTTGTTCTGTTGCTCGATCTTGTTGGTCGGGGTTTTTGGACTATATTATAATCGAGCTTACCTCATGTTTAGTAGCTGATCATGGAGCTTTTTTTGTTTCCTTCCACTTCTCTCATTGTAATTTTCTATACTTGTAATTTCTTTTTTTTAATAATGAGATGGGCTTTGCCCCTAATCCCCTGCTCCCCCCCCCTAAAAAAAGAAAAATCAGATAGATTTAGAGATGGATTGATCGTCTAATTTTTTTTTTTTAAAGTGATTTTTTTTTTAATAATAGAGCTCTCATCCAAAAGGTTTAGGAGAAGTAGCTTCTTTGGATCATATCAAAATTCTAGCTGGCATGGCCAAAATATGGGCCTAATAGTCATTTGGCCCCATTGTCGTCAAGCTCAGGCAAATTATGTATGATTATACTGTCATTCAGAGCATGGACTACAATTGATGTGACCTTGGAGTGGTGATCAAACTAAGTCTAAATTACTATAATGTTGTCTTTGCAGTAGTTATAACTCTTAGGGTGTTGGTGGTGGAGGGGAGAGACTGTAGCCATGTGGTTGTGGTCAGTCAACTATTGTGGGGGAGGCCAAGCTCAAGTGCACCTTACTTGTGTTTATAAAATTAGGGTGGAAAGATATTGGGGTTCTAAGGTCTTGCATTGAATTGCATTGACTTGTATGTGGAGATTAGCTTTGGAGTTGGTGGACATTTTCCTTGAAGTTTTAGGGCTTGTAGATGGAGGATTCCCAACACCAGATATTATAAACCTTAATGTGACCAATTGCCCTAGTTTTGATTTAGAAAATTAAAGGAGGAGGCTAGTGCGGTTTTTAGCTGTTGGAATGACTTGGAAGGGTTACTTGTATGTGTGGACAATTGTTCTAGAGTTGATGGAGGGATTCTAAGTGTTTTAAGGCATTTGAAAAGAGAATTTTGAGTTGTGCTTAAAAAAATATTTTTTAGGTTGTAGAGGATATGGGAAAGCCTTAGGGATGCAGGACTGAGTGTGGAAGAATGTTCTTATCAATGGAGAATGGTTACTAAGATAGATAAACGTAAAACTGAAGGATAACTAACCCTCCCACCAATGTGAAGCCAAGGCTGACCACCAAGCTTCAACCTCAAGAGAATTAATTCTTAGATCTTTTTCTTAATAAATCAAAATTGATTCATTATTGGAGTTTTTATGATATATGAGAATGCAATGCTTTCTCGGTTAATTTGATATTTTCCCTTGTTTGATTCACCTTTGATTTGGTTTGGTAAATCTTGGTTTATGCAATTTGTCGATTTTATTATTGGAGTCCAGAGTTTTCATTACTCCGTCTTAATTGCAATTGGATTTCTCTACTGCTTTATATGTGGAGCTAAACCATGTGGACTTCACATACTTGCATTGCCATGTTACCTACTGCTCTTGCTTGAGTCAGTATTCTGATTCTTGTGTTTCACCAATGATGCTACTGGAGGACGTCCCATGTGATCCTTATGCCTATCCAACCGGTAGCATTAATTCATTTATTACCATTTTTAGTGATTATTTTGAGTATCATATGGTGTGATATGTGAATTGTAATAAAGAGATTTTAAGGGCAACGTGATTATAAGAATTTAAGGATTATAAATTAGGCAATCTTAGGCTTGTTGGCATGTTATGAAGCTTTTTGCTTTTTAAAATTTCAAATTCCTTCTAATATTTTGTGTGCTTAGTTGGCCATTGGATTCCTTTGAATGCCGTGCAAATGCAAAAATCAAATTCCAAGGGATGTTATCTCCTTATATTAGTGCGATGCATGAATTTTCTCTACTTGGTGAATTTTTTCCTTGTTCTCAATTCTTCCACATAATTCTTTATTAGTGCAAGCTTTATTAATTTCTATCAAATACATGTCAACTTATTTTTGAATTATAGTGTGAATTCCAACTGAAATGTGGATTTTTGGTGTTTATCAATTCCTTACTAATTTTCTTTGGTTTAATTGATCATTAAATTATTATTTGTTATGGATTTCTTATTGTTTTGAGTTCAAATCAAAAGAAAGCAAGTAGTTTTAAGTCCTCGCTAATTTTCTGTTATATATATAAACACAGACATACAGAAAGAGATAATTCTTCGATTGTTTTTTTTGGTGATATATGTTTTTATGTTGGTATTGAACTACTTATGTATTTTACTTCATTTAGTTTCCAACTTAACATTGCTGAGCTATTTTTTTTGGCTGTGACTATTCAATCGAAGTCCTCACTTGTTTGCTGCATTGATTAGTTGCCCTTTTTTGGAAAATTTCGTTATTAATGCCAAGATGGTTCAATGAAACTCTACTTTTTTCAGAAAGAGGAAAGAAAGCTCACGTTTTACTATACCTTTTCTTCCATGATTAGCTGAGTAGCTGTCTAAATTATTGTTGGTTTCTGTCAGAAGGCACTGTTTCTCAGACCAACTCAAGGAATTAGGAGTTCTAAATGCAACTTTATGGTTGGAAATGCCCCAAATTTTCAAAAATTATTCTTCTCCAGAAAGAATTCCATCTATATAAATAAAAGATCTAAAAATTCTGGTGGAGCTCTCTGTACAAAATGCCAGGATGAGAAAATCCTTGTGGCAAATAGAGGTGAGATTGCAGTTCGGGTCATTAGGACTGCTCACGAGATGGGGATTCCATGTGTAGCTGTACACTCTACAATAGATAAGGACGCTCTTCATGTGAGGCTGGCAGATGAAGCAGTATGCATTGGAGAAGCTCCAAGCAGTCAATCGTAAGTAAGATATTTACTTCTCCAAACTCCTCGGTAAAGCCGTATTTTCTTTTAAAAAAAAGAATATTCACATATCAGTCATATTACAAGTAATATTGATTTCTTTGAACTGTCCTCTTGGTTTACTTACATTTTAGTACATGCTGCAATTCTTCTGTGGTCCTACAGTCTTTTTCAGCTTTGTACCTCTCTGGCAGGTACTTGTTCATTCCAAATGTTCTCTCTGCTGCTGTTAGCCATGGGTGCACTATGCTACATCCGGGTTATGGTTTTTTGGCTGAGAATGCTCACTTTGTTGATATATGTAAAGAGCATGGAATAAACTTTATTGGTCCTAATGTAAGTAGAATCTCTTTGAATGGTCGAAGTTTGGACCCACATTTTTTTCTTATAGAATTTCTGCAGTTGTTCTTATAATCCTTAATCTCAGCATTAGATGTTTAATAAATTTAGCTTTATTAGCATGCTACATGTTATTGTCCTCTCTTTGCAGCATAATTATTTGGTTGTTCTAGAAGCACCCATTTCAAACAGAAATATGGATGCTTTTGCCTTATAAATGTGCAACTGTCTTGTCATGAAGTCATTTATAAATCATCGAACTTCATCAGCCTCTTAAATTTTGCATTTATTGAACTGATTTCTTTATAGTTCTGCTTTTTGTCTTCACTGTGTAGCACAGCTTTTAATTAACAAGTTGTTCATCCTATTCCAGCCTGACAGCATTCGCGTTATGGGCGACAAGTCTACTGCCCGAGAAACGATGAAGAAAGCGGGTGTTCCAACTGTTCCTGGCAGCGATGGACTGCTGCAGGTATAATAGAACCTTTAGTAATGTCATGGACTCCGCATAAATTGCAGAGTATTCAATGTGTTTTTAATTGTAATCTCTTTCTAACCTTGAACATTCTTCAAATCTATCAGTCCACTGAAGAAGCTATCAAGCTTGCCCATGAAATCGGTTTTCCTGTCATGATCAAGGTATCAATCCAGCATTACATCTGAATTTCTGTAGATGTCAATCTGGCTCATCTTAATTGCTCAATTATAAGAACTCAATTAAATTTTATAGAAAGAAGAACTTGAGAAAACAGATTGAAATTGGAAGTTTTACTGGGGTAAAATATGTCTAGAGAAAAGCCTATCAAGTTGATGTGTTTTTATTCCTCCCAAAGCATTAATAAACTTAATTTGACTTTTTCATGGTAAAGAGATATATTTATAGTTGAGTGAAGATTGGGAGAAGATCTTAAGATAATGTATCATATTTTCTTAGAAGGCAATTGATATGCACCTTTCATGGAACTGTAGTCCCTTTTTCTACCCATCATACATATTAGGATGTTTATCGAGCTTGTTAGATACACTTATGAATTATGATATTTGGTTATTGTTTGTAATATTAAATCTATATTTCTATCCTACGAAGGCAACTGCTGGTGGTGGAGGACGTGGAATGCGATTAGCTCTTGAGCCTGGTGAATTCGTGAAATTACTACAGGTATTTCTTATGACAAAAATTTATCTTCTCTAATGTGGGTACCTTTTTAATACAACTATATTTCATCATCAAATTTTCTGATCTTTGCTCCTATGCAGTACATTTGTGAGATGATAAATGACATTGTTGTTCATGCCCTGATATTACGGAAAGGGATTTTTTTTTTTTGCTTCTGTAAGATTAAATATTGCTGTTCATGTTTGCAGCAAGCGAAGAGCGAAGCAGCAGCTGCATTTGGAAATGACGGTGTTTATCTGGAAAAGTACATTCAGAATCCAAGGCACATTGAGTTTCAGGTTATGATTTCCAAATTATGCTACCAGGGAACTTTCAATTTCTGATAGTGTGGATAATGACTCTTCTCCTTTTCTAAGATACAAGAAAGTTCTTTAACTTATCAAAACACTTTTTTATTAGGTTAGTCAAGAGTTTTATAACTGGATTAATAAACATCCTAATTCAACTATGGATGTTCGGCAAACCCTTCAAGATTTATTAAATGCATCTGTAAAATAAAGGTGGACAATTTCAGATGTGATTAATATATTTTAACTTGGGATACTGCATTTTTTGAAAAGAAAGAATCTGAGATGTAAGACAGCAACTACTTTTTATAGAAAAAAAAAAGAACTGAAAAAAAAAACAGTATAATGTGCACCTAAACAACTACTTGATAGAAAATATTGGTGTTTGATATTTTTGGAAACAAATATATACTTTAATTTAATAATATGTTATCTTCTGAGGCAATGTTTAGTTGAGTTATTATATTAGGAACATTTTAGGAGTGCTTGTGAAGTGCTGAGAAGTATTTGTGAAGTAGCGGATAAGTAACCATATAGATTATAAATTTATGACATAATATGGAGAGATATTTGAACTCCAATAATTTTAAAAATCTTAAACCTTTTTATTTGTCCTTAAAAAATAATTTGGTCAAAATCATCTAAGCAACATCTGGCTCACATCAATGCTACTGAATATTTCTCATGCACCAAATGACACCATCCTACAAAAATTCGTAAATATCAGCGCTCACCTAAACTAATCTTATGTATCACAGATTCTTGCTGACAAGTATGGAAATGTTGTTCATTTTGGAGAGCGTGATTGCAGTATTCAGGTACTTCCAAGTGAATTTGTACAGAATCTCTTAGTTTGATACAAATTTAGCTTATTACCCGACCATGTACTAGCTAAAAAACATTTGATTATCAATGAAATGAAATTAGGTCAGGCAAATGAATGCAACATGAAATTCCATTCATTTGGTTGTTGTAGCTTTACTATGCAAATCCACGGATCAGAGCCCCAGATCTAGACTAACCACCCTTAATAACCTATGAAGAGGTTCCCTTTTTCATTCCCATTTTCCGTACTATTGGATTGTAAAGTTTTCACTCCCCAAATCTCAATGAGAGCAAAGATTCTTAATAGGTCATCCAAAACTGTTCACACATGTGCGCATGACTCCTGCGTCACGATATATACCCCTAGTATGAATAATATTTTCGAAGGTAGCTTGGACACTGTTCATGAGGTTTTTGAGTCTGGTGCTATGGAAGGAACTTAAATTCCTTGTTCCTAGGACATGCCTGTCATTGTTTCAGAAACTTGCGTATAATTTCAAGTCAATTTCTTTTGGATTCTTTTTTTGCTGATACAAATGTATTCTGTTGTCTAATTGAATGCTCAAATTTCCATGAGAGGATAAATACTAAGTAAGAGGAAATTATTGTATTACTAAACCAATAATTGACATTTATTCTCCTTTACTAAGCTAAGATTCCATTTTACCTTTCACATTTATTTGCCACATAAAATCCTGCTAGTAATAAAAGTTGCTGACAATTGCGAAGAGCCTAATCCTTTTTTCTTGTTACTGCATGAATTAATGGCCTTCAAAACATGATGTATTTGTCAGAGAAGAAACCAGAAACTATTAGAAGAAGCCCCTTCTCCTGCTTTGACCCCAGAACTCCGGAAAGCTATGGGTGATGCTGCGGTGGCAGCAGCTGCATCCATCGGCTATATTGGTGTTGGAACTGTGGAGTTTCTTTTGGACGAGAGAGGTTCGTTTTACTTCATGGAAATGAACACGAGGATCCAGGTATGGATAACAACTGGAGTAAATTATATTTTCTCAGCTATTATTTGTTATCTTTTTACCTGGTTTACATACTTATTTTTGATGAAAATAGGTCGAGCACCCTGTTACTGAAATGATTTCCTCAACTGATTTAATTGAGGAACAAATCCGTGTAGCTCTCGGGGAGAGGCTGACTTACAAACAGGTTTTACATTTAAAGTTTTTATTCTCAGGTGATGTGTAATCAATTCTTGTGTTTACGAGAATACTGTCTTTTTCATTTATAGGAGGATATTATTCTCAGAGGACATTCGATTGAGTGTCGCATCAATGCAGAGGATCCCTTTAAAGGATTTCGTCCAGGGCCAGGTATAACTTCTTTCACTTGATTAATTTAATTATAGTGTTCGGTTTTTAATTCCGTGATTGATCAACTTAGCTAAGAAAGATTTTTGTATCCTTTTAACTAGAAATATGCATAAAAGCTGGCAGGAAAAAATTAGGATATGCTTCTGTTAGTTATTTTATTTCTGAATTATTGGTGCTTTATGATCACTGGACGAAACAAAAAAAGAAATACATTTCTCATCAGCTGCCCACTTAAGTGTTTTTTAAGTTTAGACGTGTGTCCACTGCTAATGATAAACTTTACTTTTCTTGTTGTCACTGTCATTATCAATTCATCATAATTATGTGTGTTTAAGGTTTTCCATATATCTAAGTATTCTTTTTTGTGTTTCCGAGATGGCAGGGAGAATTTCAGCATACCTTCCATCTGGAGGTCCATTTGTGAGAATGGATAGTCACATTTATCCAGATTATGTGGTGCCTCCTAGCTATGACTCCCTACTTGGAAAGGTATGCATGTCCTTTCTGCAACCCAACTACTTGGAGGCTGTCTGGCTGCAAGTAGGATTTAGTAAATCCGGATTTATCATATCCTAATGTCAAATCCTGAAAACAATTTGGCATGACACATGTTAAATCCTAAAAAATTGATTGGCTATGCATTTCAAGATTTATGGTGGTTAACTTACGAAGTTAAAGATGAAACTATGCATAATGAATGCGTGAGAAGTGAACATTGTTATATGACATCATTGAATTAAGATTAGAAAAGACTCTTGAAATTAAGTATCAGTCACACATCTAAAAATAAAAAAGAATGCAATATAAGTTCTTACAACAAATATAGTAATAGCTCCTACGAGTACATAGAAGATAGTTACATATGAACAAATGGACTAGACATAAATATCTTACGTGTGGTTCCATGATGAAGGTGATAGGATTTAACTTGCAGTTCGGAGTGATCTTATCTTATTGAGTGGTGTCTGATGCATTTCGTGTCTGATACATGTTGGAGACTGCATACCTCTTTTGAGGAAAAGTATCGATGCATCATAAATGGGAAGACATGAACTACATTATTTGGAACTTCATCGTCCTCATCATTGTTTGCAGGTCATGCTGTTCTTGTTGAGCTTATTGTTGTCCCAATTGCGATTTTATCAACGTAGATCTTCTGAAGGATTTCGTGCAGGTGGAACGAGTTTCAACAAAAATGGGTCATCTTGAGATTGTCTTGTGATAGAGAGATATACAATTATAACTAAGAAATTATTCGTGTTAATGTTTAGACTTTTAAACTAATACAAATGTATATGTATAATTTTCTCTCTGCTCATTTTTTGCGATTGGGGTATGAAGCTCCTCTTCCCACTTCAATTGTTTCGATTTGATAGTCACTATAATGTTCTAAAACCCAACTCCATATTTTGAAATCTTTTCATGAACACCTCTTCGGTGTCATTGGTGCCTAGACGTCGATTCATGACTTATATGATGTCGGACCATAATTCCTTCTTCAATTAGAACTATTTCCATATTGGTACTATTCTTATTCATGATTTACTAAACTAATGCCATTGAGTGAGTAAACTCATTATCATTAACTACCATCTACGTTTCTCACATGCAACAATTTCCTCCTAGTGCTCCGGCAGACATCTTGCTTGTATGTGTGGTATTGTACTAACTTTATTGGTTACTACCATAGACACGATCTGTACTTCCATATGTTGCAAATTAAAATGTAGCATGATACTCAAAATAGTGAGCTAGAAGTGATTGATGAAGATCCTAATGTATATGTAATAATAGGGGAAAGATATCAAGGGGAAATAGATAGACATGCAATCACCAAGAAGTTGTGGGTGGCTAGGGTAAGAATATTGATTGCATTAGTGAAAATTTAATTAAATTTTAAAACTTTAAACTACTTATGTTTTTTTTTTTCAAGAAGTTGAATGAACAACACTGCTCAAAATGAAAAGATCACTTTGAAGTGCTAGTTATATCATATCTCCCTCATTATGGAAGCACATATGAAATATTATTGTCTACTTCTATTTAGTTTATTTGTTCATCTGTATTTATCTTCTATGTACTTGCTGCCACCATTGTTGTTATAAGACTTATGTTTCATTCTTATTTGTATTTAGATGTGTGATCAATAATTTGTTTCTAGAGTCTTATCTATCTTAATTTGGTGATATCATGTAATTCAATGATGTCATGTAATAATGTTTGCTTCTCACATGTGCCTTATACATAGCTTCACATTTAAATTCTTAATTTCACGGCCATAAATTTTGAAATGTATAGCCAATCAATTTGCTAGCATTTAATATGTATCATGCCAAATAATTTTTACGTGTTAACAACCTCAGGATTTGATAAATTTAGATTTACAGGACTTACTAAATCCTACTTGCAACCAAAGAACCCCAAAAGGTTACACAACATGGTTTAGAAAACTTAGAATTAGGTCATGGTACATAAGTTCAACTTGGGAGAAGCTAAAAGGCACAGAGATTTATTAGTTACAGAAACTAATAAATAAATGGTTGAATTGCTATTATAATTGAAATGTGATGAGTCTGTTTAATATTGATTTTCATTCTTTTCTACTGTTTGCTGCATGCGAATTTCCAATCTAACATCTCTTCTTTGTAATTAGCTTATTGTTTGGGCCCCAACCAGGGATAAAGCAATTGAACGAATGAAAAGAGCTCTAAATGACACCGTCATCACCGGTTAGTTTGCAGTCAATGGAAAATCAATTTAGTGGACAGATACAGTTATCTTTTATTCCTTTTCTAGTACTGTAGTTAAACTAACAGAAAACTTGCATGATATCATTTATTTGCTAACGTTAAAGAATATCTGTCTTTGTTACAACGGACACTCATTCCATAATTTTAATATTGGATGAAACTCTCTAGTAGAGTACAACTTATTGCTTTGTTTTTGTATATCATGTAAACCGAAACCTTCATTCCACATACTATTCAAATTTACTATCATTTTCTGTCTTCCTTTTATTTATTTTTTTTCTATCAATTTATCAATTATCTCATTATAGGCATCATTGAGATATTGGCTTTTGAAGTACGTATTGCCATTTTTAAGTTTATTTTAATGTTTCTTCATGAATATGCGAATTCTCTCATGATTCCTCTCATTGTATGAGTGTTGCAATTTTATTACCTTTTTCAGGTGTCCCGACGACAATTGAGTACCACAAGCTCATCCTTGATGTTGAGGTATAAAAAGCTCTATGCTTATGGAATCAAGGGCGCAGGCGGTGTTGGATTTAATCCAATCGATGTGCCTATTACTTGGAATACGAGATGCCTGTTTTCTGATTTCTGGCAGGCTAAATCAAGCGTCCACGTGAAATGCAGAAGCAGATCACTTGTGCATTTCACGAGGATGCCCCTGCTCTCTTTGAGATATTAATTCAAATGCAATTGTTGATGTTTGAATTCAGAAAAACTTACATGTCACTTTCATGGTAATGCAGGACTTTAGAATTGGAAAGGTAGATACGGCATTCATACCTAAGCATGAGAGCGAATTGGCTGAGGTACCTTATCCTTTTTCCATTTGAAATGCCCTTCTCTGCTTGGATTAAGCTCCCTTTGTCTTTCTTGTGTATTAGTCCCATGCATCCAAAATAATCAATTATATTAACTATATTTAAACGGAATTACATTATTTTCTTCTTCGTCCTCCTCTACTTTGAGCCGATTTTGGTGCTCTGTGACGGCAGAGTAGTGATAGATAAACAGGCTTGCCTCACCCATATTGATTTTATTTGCGGCTTTGATTAGAAATCGATAAAATAAATATTATTAAAAAAACGTCTTTTCCTAATTGCTGGCATGGATTGAAGATTTTTAACCTTGAGAAATGATTTCGTTGAAGATCTTCCAAATTGCTCTGTTAAGGGTGCATCATTAAAAAAAAGGGGGTGCATCATTTCATGAATGCAATCTGCAGCAATACAACATTTCAATAATTTATTACACATCTTTGGGAATTCATTTGTTACCTTATCTTGGAGTTCTACTTGTAAAAAATTATGGCTGAAGTTTTGGTAGTTTTGGCACAGTTTCATTGATTTTGGATAGCTATCAGTTGAAACCTATTTGAAGCCAATTAATATTTTTGATTTAATTTTGAGGGTTTTGGGTGAAACTCAAGAGTTTTGATAAAGATTAAAAATTAAACTCAACGATTTTGACCAAAACTTTGAATAAAATATCATTAAACACTTGAGCAACTATCATTACTATAATTTCATATTTAAGACCAACCAATTTCATTTTTGTTATGAAATTGTGCCCTAATCTATCTTCTTTATTTCAAACCTTAAATGTGTGCGTGCGCGTGTATATATATATATATATATATATCCGCTTATTTATGAGAGCCTAATAAGGTGTTAGATCAAATCTTTGATGAAAGTATAACAAACTCTTGCTTAATAACAGCCGTGCTGAGTCAGAATCCTGTCACCAGCTGGACTTCTAATGCCCCTTTTCTAAGATTCTTCTTGAATTTTTAGTAGAAGATTGGTTATGGGTTTGTCTCTATAGTTTAGTCAGTGTAGTGGAGACAAAAGTTGGAAAACCCATTGAAAATTATAATTTGAAATGAAGTTGTATTCATTTTTCCTTCGCTTTGATAGGAAAGATGTTGTCTGGAAAGCTGATTTTCTCGTTCAAGAATGGTCTAAACTTGTCACTGGACCATATATATATATATTCTCGTTGAAGGATCACCTTTCAAGGTCTCACAAGAATGTTGCTTCATGCTCCAAAGTTTCTGATACTATAAGGGAGGAGATAAAGTCATACATGAATAAGTCTACCACGTTAAAACATCTTGCACAGAAGCAATTTGAGGACAGAGTTATGTTGGCTCTTATTATGGGAGTGAGCGCAGCGCTAGGAATTCATTTTCTTCGATGAAGCCCATTTCATCTAGGAGTGCTAGAGGGCCTATGGATCATTATATGGTGGACACATCAGAGGATATGCCTCATACTACACAGAAGATGGCCCAAAAAAATGCAAGGGAGGCGCGGAGAAGAGTGTGTAAGGATATAGGTAGATTCTTTTACGAAAATGCAATTCCATTTAATGTTGCAAAATCACATGCCTTTTAAAATATGATTCGTTCAGTTGGAGCATTTAGGAGAGGGTTCAAACCTCTAACCATGTATGATTTAAGAACATGGATTCTAAAGGAGGAGTTGGAAAGCACTGATAAAAGCATCGAAGATATTAAGAGGACTTGGACCCAAACAGGAGTAACAATTATGTCAGATGGGTGGTCTGATATCAAACATAGAAGTCTGATCAATATTTTCATTAATAATGCTTATGGTATTGTATTTTTAAGGTCAGTTGAAGTATCTGACCAGGTCAAAGATCTGATTCTTGAGAAGCTTGGAGAGCTACCTCAACATAAGAATGCACTTACTAAAGCAAAAAAAATAATCAAGTTTATTTACAACCACTTGGGTTCTACCTCTTATGAGAAAATTTTTAAAAAAAGAAATTCTAAGGCTAGCAGCAACAAGATTTGTCATCGCTTATTTGACCTCAAAGAGCATGCTGGATGCTAGACAACCTTTAGAGGCTATGTTCACATTTACACAGTGGTTGAGTTGTGCTTGGGCGAAGAAAGCTGAGGGAAAAAAGATTAGAAAGATTATTTTAAATGATAGATTTTGGCAAAGTATCTTATATGCCATTACAATCACTAGACTTTTGGTTCAAGTTTTAAGGATGGTGAATGCTGAAAAGAAGCCTGCAATGAGTTTCATCTGCAATGCCATGGATGAAGCCAAATAAATGATTGCCTCCAACTTAGGAGGCGAAGAGGGTAGCTTTATAAAAATTTGGAATATTATTGATGATAGGTGGGACCTACAACTTCACAGGCACTTGCATGCAGCTGGTTACTACCTAAATCCTCAATATCAATATGTAGAGAACAAGTCAAACTCTGAAATAAAGTTGGGATTGTATCATTGCAAGGATCGGCTAATAAGTGATGCAACTGAAAGATCAAATGCTGACATGCAATTAGTACCTTTTAGGAACAAAGAAGACTTTTTTGGATTACAACATGCAAATGATACAATTGTCAAATGATCTTCATGTAATTTTATTTAATGTTTTAAATATTTATTTAAAATTTTTTTTCGCACTAATTAAACTCTCTTATATAAATATTAGTTGAGTGGTGGATTCAATTTGGCGATGGGACTCAAGAATTGCAACGTTTTACTGTGAAAGTTTTGGGCTTGATATGCTCTTCATCTGATTGCTATGTTGCACTGACACTTCTCCTCAAAGAGGCGTGCAGTGTCCGACACCGTATCCGACACGACACTCGTCCGACACTCCAACACGTGTTGGACACGCTGAAAATGTGTCCAATTAAAAAATATTAAATACAAATTGAATACGCGTGTCCGACACACGTATTTTAAATATTTTATGATTTTTTTTTAAATATAACTTCTTATATTTGGAAGGATTTAAACTAAATTTCTTTTTTCCTATCCACAACACCAAATCAACGCCCGCGCTTAATACCCAATCATCGAATATTCTCATTTTCATTTCTTTTTGGCAGTGAAGGTATTTTCATCTCCTCTCTTGGTGACTGATAAACAGCATCGACGCCTGACTCTCGACATCCTAATACTAATCATTTTAAACACAAATTCTAGTTAAATGACTTATTATTTTCAAATTATTTTTAAAATTATACTTATTTAATTTTTATACACTATTTTTTAAATATAAAAACTATAATACCGTGTCCAACCCGTGTCTGTGTCCTATATTTTTAATAACTGACGTGTCCCGTGTCCTTGTCGTGTCGTATCCGATTCGCCGTGTCTGTGTCTGTGCATCATAGTGGTTGTGAAAGAAATTGGAGTACCTACAATCAAGTACATACAAAGAGAAGAAATCGCTTGTCCACATTGAGGATGAATTCACTGGTGTACATTATGTACAATAGGAGACTCAGAGATATCAATTTAAAGAAAAAATGATTAATGGATGATGAAGATCCTTTGCTTTGCGAGAATGTGACATCTAATGATGAGTGGTTTGTAGATGATGAAGTTGAAGTGATGCCATTTGAATTACAAGATGAAGATTTAAATGTTGATTTCTTTGATGGCCTTAAAGCATCTACATCCACCACAATTCAAGAACAAATAAAAAAAGATATATAAATAATATAATTTTTCTAAACTTTTATTAATGTATTACACTATTATTTATTTTGAGATTGTTCAAAAATATTTAGGGAAGAGAAAGATAACTAATATTGAGGAAGAAGGACCTGATTGGGAGACATTAGACTCTATAGGAGAGGAGGAAGGGGAGAGAGCAGTTCATCATAATGATGATTAAAATGAAGACCCCCTTAGTGATGACAGTGCTGATGACTTGCGAGTTCTTATGTGAGATTTCATTGCTATTTATTTTTGGAATTATATGTTAATGAAAAGAATATTGTGATTTGGGAAAGATGGAGTTTGAGTTGAATTATATTTCATGTTGTCTTATTATTGGGATATTTTGATTTCGCTTCATAGCTTGTGCATTTTTATGTTTTATATATTATTTACTCATTAGTATATACAAAATTTATCATTTTATGTTTACACAATTTTTTGATTTTGAGGCTTACGCCTCAATACGCCTTGAACGACGGTTTGGTCACATAGAACGACGGCCTTCCGATGACCCAGTTAGGATAGTAGAGGTATTAGATTCAACTTATATTAAGAAAGGTAGAGGTAGACCTAAAAAGACTTGGTTAGAAAATATTAGAAAATATATTCCTTTATTAGATTTAAACGAGAATTTGACTTTTAACAGGACACAATGGAGAAAAAAGATTCCTGTAGCCGACTGCACGTAGTGGGACAAAAGGCTTGTTGTTGTTGTTGTTGTCATCTTCTAATATAGTATGACTTAGGTTTAGGTCTTCTAATGCACTTAATATGACGCTTCCTATGCTTTCATGAATAGGAAAATAGATGTTCCACTAGTCATTAGCTACGAATTGCACTAAACTTTCTTTAATGAGAATAGGCAATAGTTAAGTTTAAACTTAAAATTTAATTAATTCCTCAAGGTAAGAAGTCACTCACTTTCATTAAAATTTTTTTAACAACTGAAGAAGTCACTCGTGGTAGCACCATTAGGTGAAGCCAACTGTTAAAATCTCAAAGAGAATTGAAACAAGGCAACCATATCATGCAACACAAAAAACGCATTTAAGACGATTCAAATAAAATCAAAAACCTCAGCCTATCAAATATTGTAGTGCAAGAGATACATAATCCCCCTAGCTTACACACTGCGAAAGCACAATCTCTCATCCAAACAACATTAAGATATAATGCAATGTACCATATAGCCTACTCAGTCTTTTGTTAGAGTTAATCAAAATTAAATTGAGACTTAAATCATGTCAACTAAATAAATTAACTTAAAGTTAAGAAATAAAGTTTTCAGGATTGCTCGTTCTGAGCAATTCGAGGATGCCAACAACTCCAAAATAATCGTGTGAAGAAGAACATGAAGATGAAAACTGTATTGATAATTTAGATATAGCAGACCACTGCACCTTAATCATACCACGTTTATACTGGACTCACTTCACTTATATGCCTACAACCACTCACAAGTTACCGATGGCAATGCCATATCAACTCATAGCAAACTAGGAAGGACCATTATTCCTTTTATCTCCACACCCAGCAACAGCCCATAACATCCTTTTTCCACGTGGAAGTCTTTGAGGTATGTTGGTAGCCTTTGTTCCCTCCTCGACAACCATCCTTTGTCAGCCTCCTTGGGGTCCATGTCAATTCCATTCTTCTTGCATCAATGACTTTGTACTCAAGTTTGAACTTAGGAAAGTTCGTGTTCAATTCTACTTAAGCATTCTGTATGGGGTCTTTCAGTAGTGTCCACTCCCATTCAATGAGGTGTTGCACTTCTCGACACCCAGCTTGAGATTTGGCAAGACTTAGTAAAATCGCCAGCTTAAGCAGTGGGTGATTCATCCATGGCTCCTGTAGAAAGTAGGTAGGAAGCAATTACAGATCTTGACGATATGACTTGAGCAATGATATTTGGAAAATAGGTTGGATGTGAGAGTATTTTGTTAATTCAAGCTTGTACATAGTTGTTCTGACACATTCGAAACTCAATATGTGCGGGCTACAAAAATTCGGCCCCGGTCTCCCTCGTTGTTTTTCTTCGAGGGAGTTTTAACAGATTAAGTTCAGTATAAATTTTGGGAAGGCAAATGAGTTTGTAGATAAGACACTATCCAGAGATTTCGCCCTCATTTTGCGAGGACTTTATGATCTGAGTTCTGGTGTCCTATAGGCGTAAGCCCCTTAATGGATTTCCCCAAGAGATCTTTCATTCCTGCTTATCTATGCATCGTGTTGTCTTCCCTTTGAAGTGATGCTCTTGCTTCACTTCCATTAGGGCTAACCGTAGATTGGCGCCACAGGGAACTTCATTGATTGCGTGATGTATCTTCCAGGTTGGTTGTTGAGCACGTGCTTACGGTCATTGGTGAGACCAATTGTAAGGATTGTTGGTTTCGAGCAATTTGAAGATGTCCGCAACTCCAAAAAACCATGTGGAGAAAGAAAATTAACAGGAAATTTGTATTGGTAATTTGGATTATGCTACCAGTACATCTCAACCATACAATTGCTGTACTATACTCTCTCCACCTACGCACCAATAGCCAATGACAATACTACAAATGGTAACCTTATAACAACTATTTACAAACTAGAAATTAACCCTTATTCCCTTTTCCTCACACCCAGCAGCATCCATACTGTTCTTTTGCCAGTAGATGTCCTTCAACAATGTTGGCTGCCTTCTTTCCGTTCTCAGCAGCTGCCCCTTCGTCATCTCTGTTATTGCCTCCTATACAACCCTTCTCAGCATGTGAATCATATAATAAAAATAAATGAATTATATAGATATTAACACTTTGTGTGATTCTTCCGATGGAAATAAACATGAATGTTTTCTTCACACGCTCATATTGGCATCATTTTTTTTTCTATGTAAGCATTGACATTTTTGCCTTAAAATTTTCATTTCTGGATGTAGCCTCAAAAGATGGTGCTGGCGAAGCCAACGAAAGAGATTGCTGGTGTGAACTAGTTGGATCTCAAGCATCGCGCTTCCATGTATTCTCTAGTCTTATTACTGCTTATGCGTTATGATTACAAAGATTTTTGACATGAGAACAACCTTTATCCAGGCTGCTTTTGTTTCCCCTTTTTATCCTCTCAACTTGCACATTCGTAGGACTTTCCCTTGAAAATTATGAATGCAATGATCTAATTAATACTCATGTACTGGAAGTGCTACATCTAATAAATAATTTGTTATGCTGTTATCTTTATAAAATTATTACTTTATCATAATCTTCAAAGTCACTGAAGTCGTCTATAGTTAAAAGTTGTTCTCACCGAAGTCACTAAAGAAAGCCCCACTTATCTCAAGAATTCAGTCAATTGAAATAGCCATCTTGCTAAAATTATTCGCAACTCATTTAGGAATTGCGTCTATCAATCAAAACTCTTGCTTATCAATCAAAAGAATCAACTGAGAAAATTCATATTGTATAATTTGCTAGAGCTAGTTGCCATAAGTTATATTTAGGGTCTTTTTAGAATAATTTTCTTGCTATTTTAGTTTTTAATAATTTTATTTGACTGCTGATTTATTGTTGTTTTCTAATAATTTTTCAAAAAAAAATTTATAATGAAAAGATGTTTTTTACAACTAGATTAATTAAGTTATATTTCTTATAATAATTTTACAACTAACTTCAAAAATATTACGGCTGTTCGAGATGTCCTTAATTTTAGCAGCTTTTAGTTAATTTTGTGCATTTCTACAATTTTTTTTGTTATTTTACTGTTATCATTTTATAGTATTAAGCTTATAAATAGGATGCAAAGAGACAAGTTCACTTTTTTTTTTTGTGGCATTGTGAAGGTCTTAAAACTTTTCTCTTTATATTATATTTCTTTTTTTTTTCTCTTTGGGCTTGAACTAGGCATATTAGTAAGGTATACTGTATTACTCACAGATAGATTTGTACCCAATATTTCAAAATGTATTGAGAGTCTGAATGATGCAACGATAAGAAGCCAAATAATAGAATGATTTGGTAAGAAAGAAAAGCCATTGCAAGTAAAAAAAAAACAAGATTTCAGAATTGCTGGACAACTCAATCAAATGCAAGTCCATTTAGTGAGAATGATTCAAATAATTATTGTGCAATTTTCGTCAAGTTGAGTCAGACACAATAGGCATCTACTGACTCTTATTTGTCGATGTTAGTATTGCCTCGGAGCCCATGCTTCTATTCTAGTTATAGATGAAGCTCGTCTCCTGTGATGAAATAACTCCAAAAAAATCTCTCTCATCAAGCCACCTTACCAATCTATTTTTTTGTTAAAATTTTGAAGGCTTGATCTCATCCCAAGTTTAAAATATCTTATCTCAACTTTTAAATAGAGAAGTTGAACCCAATTGATCATGTCACTTAAATTTATTCAACTACTTCACTTCTTAATATCAATGATGTACTTGAATGATGATTATTCATTATTATCTCTAAATATATGTTGTTAAAATAGCTCTCATATCTCCCACTAAAAGTTTGTCTTCATACTCCAAGTTGAAATGATCATATGTGTTTGAATTCATTAGTTCTTAGTAATTGTTGAATAATTCAAAAGTTCTTTTTAATGTGAGAAAAAGTAGGGTGAATCACTTAGAAATTTTTTTGTTCTTTTTAAACATTAAATGATGGAAGTTGTACTTAGAAACAACACTAAAGCCTTGATTTCTATGGCAAACACGAAAAATTGATGGGATGATTGTGTGGTCAATCACTTGAGGAGAATATAATCGATAATCTACAACCATGGTCAACTTCGTAATAATCAACGCCTTGATGACCCATAATGGTATATTTGGTCATCCATTGCTTAATACTTTCAAGACAATAGTTTTAACATTATATTGTTTGAAAAGCTACTTATAATCACCCATGAATAGAAGAACTGGTTGATTCGACAACCAACTTTCAAATAATAATTTTTCTTGATGCTTGTTTAAACTATTATTAAATAAAAATCATCTTACTGGCTATGAAAATGTGAGTTTCATGACTGATGATGCATTTTATTATTAAAACTTCCTGTGAATGATGGATTGCATTTTCAATTCTAAGCTAACAACCAGCATGCAGTGAAAGCTCGAAAATCCGGCACACAGAGGAAAAATAAACACCGGTCTAGCCTAAAACTAGAGTTGATTTTTAATTAAAAAATGCTGAAATATCTTATCTTAGGTTGATGTTATACTCTTCAAGATTAGAACTTTGGAATAGCACATCTTAGATTTATAGGATACAATGCAAATTTGAAGTAATATAATGTGTCTCAATTATCTAAAGTGTACATTTAGAGCGAGTTCAAGACTTATTTAAGGCATCAAGATGAACCCATATAAAATAAATGTAATTATAAAGATGTTTTCTCTTAATAAGATATATCGGAGGTCAAATAGATCTATATCTAATAAGCATTGGTGGAGGTTAGTATTCTGGCTTCTCCCACTTCCATCCATCTTTTTTTTGTAAATTACTACATTGCTCAGTCTCTTCAAATCAGCCCTCAAAAGTCTTCCTCAGATTCACTTTCTTCGAAGCACCCAAAAATCCCCTCTTCATATATTAGATCTCATGTATTGGGATAAAAGCTTCTTATTCTTCTTCTTTTTATTATTTGTCCAAATATGATTATGAAACTTCAATGATTAATGGGGTAAGTTACAATCCTTAATCATTTTTATTTAATAGATAATTGTCTTATCAAGCCTGGCTATAAGTGAGGTTTTTTGGTGATGAACTCCTGTGAACAAATAAACCATCATTAGGCTAGGTTGAGATTAATTTTTTTTTTCACTTTTTTATCTTATCATTGCCATACTTGACTATTATATTTTTATTAAATTTGGTGATGGGAATAAGCTTTTCATAATTTAGAGTTAAGAGTATGATATATATAAGATAGTTTTTGTGAGGAAAAAATTTATATGATTCACAGTTAATTTTGGGTGAGATATTGAGTTAATATGCCAAATGTCATTAATCAAGTCAAAATATATTTTCAAATATTTAAGAAATTTTTAGAAATTATTTAATATTTTTCATAATTATAAGTTAGGAGGTGAAAATTATGAAAAGTAATAAATAAATAAAATTCTTAAATATTTGGGGATGTGTTGTACTTATCCTATTGCTCTAGAATGCTCAAATCAAGTTAAGAATAATTAAATTGAAAGAAATGTTATTTTCCAATTGTCAAAGAGAAGGTTTTTAATATTTAAAAACATATCACATACAAGAATCACACCCAAATAATTAAGATATTTTAATATTATTTGATAATTTCATAATTAATATAAATATTGCATTAAATATAAAAACTATAAAATAAATTAAAAAAATATAAATAAACTTGGAATTGGTTCCAATTAGTTTATATAAATTTTAAAATTGAAATTCATGCATGTACAACAAACGCACGCAATAAAATTAAAATTTTAAATTAATCTTATTTTCAAGAAATTCCAAAAATAGGATTTTAGTGGTGAAAATTTGGAAAAATACATTTTGATAATGGCAAAGCGCCACAATACCTTCATTAATTCAAACAATGGCTTTAAAATACTCCAAATTATCTATTTTTATTTGATAATTTCATAATTAAATATAAATATTTCATAATCTCAAGTATTTAAAATAATTAAATTAGTGATTATTTGATTTTAAAAAATAAATATTAAATATTAAATATATATCCAATAAAGGTCATGTCATGATAGAGTTTTGAAAAAAATTATTAAATTTGAATTTCTACTTTGATTTGAGCAAATATCTTAAGACAATTACATATATAATAGGCTAAGTAGTGTGGACTATCGGTTCCCTTTTAAAAGGAATAGATTGCCCTAATTTCTTCTATAAGCTCCAACCAACTCAAATTCAAGAAAAAATAAGTTATTTATGGCATGTTAACTTCATAGGCTCATAACTATTTAACCAGTGCTTGAAATCAAATGATTCAAAAGAAAATTGATCGGTTTTTTTTAGCTTTATAAGATGGTGCGAAGAAATCAACAAGTAGTGGACTCTAACATATCTAAAACTAGAATGTGATTAAAAGCTTAAGGCTTAAAATTGTATTAGCTTAGGTTGCTTTTAGGTCATGAATTTGATCAAGCACCTTCACCTCAATTTCAAGAAGAGGACCCTACTATTTGATAAGTTTGGGTTAGCCAATCAATCGTAGGTTTCGTTTGGGACAATTTTTTTTATTGCTTCTTAAAATAGCTTTCTAGTTTAAAAATTAAAATTTTTATACTAGAAATTTTCTTTAAGAAGCATTAAGAAAGCCTTCCCAAATGAAGACTTAATTAGGCTAGATAATCAAATGGGTTGAAGGTGATTTTTTTTTTGGTTCAAGAGTTCTAGCCTACATAGGCCAATCCAATGGGTCCATGGACTCAATTAACTAATTATTAATCAATTAAGGATAATTAAAGATGTTGAATTCAATGAACTAAGCCATTTTAAATCCAATTGGACTCAATGAGATCAAGCAGTCTAACTTGGGTCACTTGGTCTTAATTAGATTAGTGAAAGGTCAATTGAATCAATTTGCTTTATGATCAAACAAATTGAGTTAATTGGAAGTTTTGGGTAAGATTAATTTAGTAAATTTGAATAATTTGTCTTTATGGGTTATATTTGGGTCATTTGGGTTCAAAGAGTCAATAGATTGAGTTGGTTGGGTTCAAGCATCAATTTGGATCAACCAACTTAGTAAATATTCCAATAAATTGATTACGTGCCGTAAAAATATTGTCAATAAACTCAACCACTTTGATAATAGTGACCTCAAACACCACAATAAGTATCCTGACGACTTTAACATCAACCTCATAAGCTTTTACGATAATGTCAAGCACCTTAATGATAATTTTAGACATCTTGTAAATGATGTTGAGAATCTAGCAATAATGTTAGACATGTCAATGACTATGTTGGATATCTCAGCAAAACTGTCAGCACCATTGTGATGACATAAAATAAATTGGTAATAATGCAAATTTTAATGCTAACAAAGGCCTAAGGAGTTTAATTGGGCTAACTAGGGTTAAATGGGATCTTACTTAGTATAATGGTTAATTAGGGTAAAAAAATCTATATTTTTATGATTAAAATCCTATGAAAGTGGTTTAGCCTATTAATTGGATCAATTAATTTAAAGGCACTAATTGTATTCAGTGGTTTAAAACATATTGGGCTAGGTTATGAAAAAATT